CGTTGACATTCAAGTAAGATTAATTAATAGATAATGTACGTTTTGTGTGGATTAAGTCATACCACCCAATCGAATTCTCTTGGGATATAGGGTTTGTCTTCATTTTTACTTTGGAAATGTTCCCAAATCTTCTTATATATATGCTCATGTCATCTGATTTGACTCCTTAACCACAACTCCACTATTAGTTAATTGAAATATTTGGTTTACTTGTCTAATCTTGTTTTATATCATTATTATATGTATATATAGTTGATGGTGTGGATTCTTTTTAAAATAGTTTATTCATGGGTTAAGTCAATTTGGCTTCGAGTAATAAATATTCCCTAAACTAAACATGTCTAACTACTCAAGTACAAGCTTTTCTGTTAAAGTAAAACTTAAATATGAGTTAAAATTACAAATTCTTGACTTGGCTCGTTTATTTACAACTCCATGTATACTATCCATCTCATCAAATTCTGGATGTAGAATTTAAGAGATCATATTTATAAAAATATTGGATTTTTGGTATGTTCAAAGTAAATTTGGGTGTTACTTCCGTTCGATAGATACTTTGGTTTCGAATAGATTTGTGCGAAGCGAAACAGAATTGTTGCGAATCAACGCGGATTACACATAGAAAACTTGTTTATTTGACTTTTAGGACATGACAATTACACGACCATATATGGTCTAAGCTCCTCGTCGTCATATCCTAAAATTTGTTTAAAATCATTATCTTTTCATTTAAAATCTTATTTTAGTTGAGAATATCTCGTGGAGTAGGGAGAAAACTTAGAAAAAGTGAAGCCAATTAACAAGACAAGAAACACATAAGAAAATGTTAATGGTTTAAGTGTCTTCCCTTTGACCTAATCACTTTTATATTTGTATTATCTTTCCTAGCTATTTCAAAACATATTGGTCGTTATGTTGACAGAAAAAAGTATTTTAATGAGAAGGAAACCAAACCAAGAATTGGTTTCAATTCAATGTTAATTGGGGACACCATATTTGGTTAAAAATTTTAAACTGAAATTGGAAATAACCGATTTGATTAGAAGAGATGAGGAGAAAGACAAAGTACTTGGATGATCATGATAATAGCATCAAAGACAATAATACATTACAAAGCAAATATCTTATCTTCTTTAACCGATCTTGGCAAGAACATTGTTCAAACTCGAGACTGTCTCTGAGTAATACTTCTCAGCATCCGGGCTGCTCTTTGACCTCGCCGCATAGTCCAGCTTCCACACACACAAAAAATCAAGAAAACAAACAATCTCAGATCAATCAAAACATTAGAAAGAATAACGCGAGAACTACGAGTACAACACTGAGTAACACATGACTTGGCACATAGGGTTTCTATTGTCCATTTTGGATTTAAAAAAAAAAGGGTAATAGTGAATACGGATTGCATAAACGTACATATAAAACTTTTAGAAAAAAAATATGTAAAACTTTAGTTAACTATATCATTGTTCAAAAAAACCTAACTCAAATGAGTCCCGACCCTAAGTGCAGATGCCTCTATACACACTTACTTCTTCAC